GTTCTCCCTGCTTGTTTCCCAGGCTTCTTGCATGCTGTTCTTCCTCCCCCAGGAGAGAGCCTGCTCTGTTCTGCTCCAGACAGCCAAGCCAGGCAACGCGAGCTGCCAGCCCTGCCAAGGTGGGTACGGGCAGCACCCCCACCACACACACACAGTGGGAACAGGTCAGGCCAGGAACCTGAGACCTCACAGGCCTGATGCAACATTGGAAGCAGCAGGGGTGGGGGCTTGGCTCAGGTGCCTGGTGGGGAAGGGGAGCAGCTGGTGTCTGATACTTCTCCATTAACCATCCCCGGGGTTCTGCTCCGCCCTCCAAAGCCCTGGTCCCTGCGACCCAGGGCCCGTTCAGGGACATGCCCAGCCAGGAAGGCCAGCTCGGCACAGAGACGAGAGTCCTGGGGCAGCTCGGCTTCTTGTCATGGGGGGACGTTCTGGCCAGTGGCCAGAGGCCTTGCTGAGAGACACGAGCACACGGCCATGCAGGATTCGTGTCCCAGGGAAACCAGGGCATGCTCAGCCCCTGGGGCGAGATGCCACTCTCCCCCGATGCCTCCGGTGACTGCTGTGGGGTCACTGCCGAATCCCCCAGTGCCAGGGAGCGGAGTGAGACCTTTCCTAGTGCAGGTGTGTAAACAGGGTGAACAGCGATGCACCACTCGATGCACCAACCCCTCCCTTGTGCCTCCCTTCTCACCAGGCTGCCCCACTTCCCAGGCAGCAGGCGCCTGATGCCAAGAGCCTCCCCAGGCAAACTGCACTTCGGCCCAGCAGGGAGAACAGCTCAGGCAAACCTGGGACGCCGAGCCAAACGCTCTTCCCAGAGGTACCAGCAATATCTGTGCAGGTGTGTGTGTGTGTGCATGCAACCCTCTGTGTGTATCCCTGTGCACCAGTGGGCATCCGCATGCATCGCTGTGCATGTGTGTGTGTTTGTGTGTGTGTGTGCTCTTCTCTGTGCATGCACGCAGGGGTGGACAGCCTTGCCCCTTTTCCAATCCAAGCAGCTGGTCAACGTGTGGGGGCTGGGGCTGTTCCCGGGGAGCTGAAATTGGTGCCAGGCGGGTATTTCTCAGATGAACGGTGACGAAGAAGGCACAAGGCCCTGCTTCTCCAGACACAGGAGGATCCCAGAACAAAAGGAGCAGGTTCTTAGCAGCGTCTTTAGCCACCAGACCCTAACGCGCGCGCTCGCTCTCTCTCTCCTTGTCACCCTGTGCTTACCAGCTGCTGCTTGGTCTTTGCCTCTGCCCCTCTCTCTGTTCTGCCTCTTCTCAGTTTCCGGGTGTTCGGCCTTCCCTCACACAAACACCCCCCCCTCCCCCTCACTCAGCCAGACTCCTGGGCAGGGGCACATCCCCGTTCTCTTAGGTGGGGGGCTTCTGGTCAGCTCAGCCAGAGTTATGTTAGAGGTTGGTACTCGATATAGTCACCAGGACCTCTCAGTGTAACACTGCGTACATGTGCTTGCGTGTGCATCCCGGTGCGTGTGTGTGTACAATGTGTGTATACAGGTGAGTGGTCTGCATGCATGTGGGTGTATCCCTCTGTGTGTGTGTGTGTGTGTATATATAGGAGAGTGGTGTGCATCCCTGTGTGTGTGTGTGTGTACAATGTGTGTATACAGGTGGGTGGTCTGCATGTGGGTGTATCCCTGTGTGTGTACAATGTGTGTACACAGGCTAGTGGTGTGCATGCATGTGGGCGTATCCCTGAGCGTGTGTGGGTGCGTGTGTGTACAATGTGTGTATACAGGTGAGTGGTGTGCATGCATGTGGGTGTATCCCGGTGCGTGTGTGTACAATGTGTGTATACAGGCGAGTGGTGTGCATGCATGTGGGCATATCCCTGAGCGTGTGTGGGTGCGTGTGTGTACAATGTGTGTATACAGGCGAGTGGTGTGCATGCATGTGGGCATATCCCTGAGCGTGTGTGGGTGCGGGTGGGTACAATGTGTGTATACAGGCGAGTGGTGTGCATGCATGTGGGCATATCCCTGAGCGTGTGTGGGTGCGTGTGTGTACAATGTGTGTATACAGGCGAGTGGTCTGCATACATGTGGGTGTATCCCTGTGCGTGTGTGTACAATGTGTGTATACAGGTGAGTGGTGTGCATGCACCTGGGTGTATCCCTGTGCGTGTGTGTACAATGTGTGTATACAGGCGAGTGTTGTGCGCATCCCTGTGCATATCTGAATGTGAGTGTCTGCAGGTGGCCTAGGGAAAAGCCACAAGAACACTAGTGACATTAGCTGACAGCTAGTGGCACAGAACTAACCCCTCCCCCGAGCCCCATTGCCATGCAGGGAGGGGCTGGAGTTCAGTGCCTCCCTCCCCTGGGAAATGGGCTGCGGCGTCCCAGGCTGCTGTAGTTATTGACGCTGGGTCCTGAGCGAGCCCAGCCCGGAGGGACGGAGGGGGAGCCGTGCACGTTACAAATGAAGGGCAGCCCGCTGTGAGAGGTCGGTCAGACACACCTGTGCCATGCGGGGGAGGGCTCATATGGAATCACAGGCGGCAAAAAATTCTCTGCAGCCCGCAGGGGGCCAACAGGCCCTGCCCCAGCTACTCCCAGCACCCCCCGGGCACCACACCGGGGCAGGAGGTAAAACCCCTTTCAGATACCCCCCCACAGGGCCTTCCTGGTGTCTCCTTCTTGTCTCTCAAACAGCTGGCAACAGTCCTCCCACTCGGGCACCCGGCTTGGCAGGGCTCACCCGGTCCGAGTGCTGTGCCCGTGTCCCTTCAGCTCAGCCGCGCCCTAGAGCGGAGGAAACCCAGGCAGGCAGCCTCAGGCCAGCAGGGGCCGGGCTACGGGCACCCCCCTGTCCTGGAGAGCTTGGGGCAGGAGCAGCTCAGGGCTCCACTGGGGAGCCAACTGCTCCGGGGGCTGCAGAGGCCAAAGCCACAAACAAGGTGAGTTACCTCCACGGCGAGCGGCTTCCCCCTGCCCCTGCACTCCTTCGGCGGGCAGCTCCCTGGCCTGCAGGGGAGCCAGCGTCACACAGCACGGGGGGAACGGGGTGGGGGGCAGGGAGGCCGCTAGGAACCGAGGGCGAGGTTGTGCTCAGCCTTAGGCATGCATTAAAGTTTTGCACTCCTGCCCTGGAGCCAGTCCCAGTCCCACTGGGAGTGTGACACGGCTCCATGCTAGTGTCCCCTGCTTGGGCAGGGAGATCACAGCCACGCCCTGCCCCACCGGGCTCCCTGCACACCCTGCCCCACTGGGCCCCCTGCACGCCCTGCCCCACCGGGCCCCCTACACACCCTGCAGTGGAGCTGACGCAGCGCTCGGCGTGTGACTGCAGCATGGCGTTCCCAGCCCCTGGCTCAGTCAACAGGAGCCCCCCCCCACGGCAGCCTGCTGTACCGTCATCCGCCTTGGCCCGTGTGTGTGTGTATATATAGGAGAGTGGTGTGCATCCCTGTGTGTGTGTGTGT